ATGCCCAGACATTCTCAGATAAGATAAGGCCATGTGGAAATATATAGATTCAGAGATATAGGTTAATTATTAAGAGCAAGCTAGACAATAATAAGCCCGAGGACTAGGCTAAATAGTTTATAATTAATATAACCCTATGTGTGTTTATTTGGGACTGAAGGGTGGTGGGACCAGGATGGACAGAAACGTCTGTCTACAGATCAAAGTGGCATTTCCTGTCCCTGGTACTGAGGGCTGCAACCCCAGACTAAGCATTGGCAGTGGACATTTTGTTACAAGATATGTGTGATATATGTCAAACTCCCATATTTGCCAGCAGTGCAGAGATTATGTCTGGCTCCAGATCTGTGTTTTTATTCCTATACTATATGTAACTAAGGAAGCTTTGAGATAGATAATACATGGAAGGATCATGATTCTAATAATTCTAGGACAGTCCTAGTTCATGGCCATTATCCCAGTGAAAAGTATTCATTGTACCACGTTTCTAGAAAACATTGGAAAGTAAATAAATTATTTTTTTTTTAGGACTGACAACTTATTAGAGGAGCAGGTGAAGCTGCCATAGTGAGCAGGTGATGGGTGGTGAAAGGTACTGTTGGGAGACAGTTTTTGGTAAGACATAGTTCTTCACAGCTCTAGCTATAATAGGCAAGAGACAGAGTAAGCTTGGGGCCAACACTCAGAGCTGGGTATTCCTATCTGTAAAATGGGAATGCAGCATTAAGACAATAGCATACTAACTCAGACTTGCTGTGAATATCAAATGAGATAAGATATTAAATTGTTTTGTAAGTAGAGATACTACTGAGAGGTAAGGTACCAAGGTGACACTGAATGGTAAGATGCCAAGATGACATTGAATGGTAAGGTGCCAGGGCATTATAAGTCTGAAAACATTTCTTTCCTCCCTTTGAAAACAGAAACCTGAATCTACTTGGTTCAGGAAGCCTTGTCTGTGACTAAGCAGGGCATCAGAAGAAAATTTCCACTTCATTACAAACACTTGGTATAACCAAGTGCACATGTAAAGGCTGACTCAAAGGTCAGTGTGTCTGCATGCTTAGTTTGGGGCATAATACGTTTTAAATGTCACTCCACCTCACTTTCCCTTTTCCATTGGTGAATTCTTCTCTATTCATCTGTTTCATTCATGAAGACATCTCCTCTTCATCAGTTTCTTCAACTGAACAACCTCCTGCATTGGATGACCTAACTTTCCCTGAGAAACAATGTAACCACTTTAGATGTGCCCCTCGCCTTGCTTGATTTCAGAAAATAGGACTATTTTATTTGAAATTTCATTACTTCTCATTGCTTCCAGTCTGGCTGTGTTGTTTCCTCCTTGAACTTTACAGTGTCTTCCTGTCTGAACTTCTGAATAATAATCCATCATTAAGCCCTGCTGAAGGCCCCTTTGTTAGAAGACTTTAAGAGCTGGAGGGAAGTGCCCCACATGGGGTCTACATGCTATTTAAGTATGAAGCCATTTAGTACAGAATTAGCTCAGTGTTTTTGTACACATCTTAAAAATATGGACATAAAATTTTCTCTAAGAGATGTATCTGTTGAGATAGTGAAAGTATAAAATCCAATGTCAAGAAGCTTCACTGTGTCTGTCCTGAATAGCTAGTCTAACTATTTATTGAATTGTACAGTCCTAGGGTCTGGTAATTTCAGTGTATGGTACTTTTTGTGCAACATTTTTTGGTAAGGAAGTTAATAAAAAAAATACTCTTATGTAAAATCCAAAGAAACAAAGTCTTTCATAGAGAAAGAGAAATTACTCTAAATTATAAAACCTCCTAGAAATTAATAGATGACTCACAATTTTCAACTATAAATTGAGCAAAAGTCATAAATGGTTCACAGTCAGGAAAAGCTGAAACAGGAGAACAGATGCCCAGCGTCACATTAGAGGAAGCACACAAACCAACATTAAAGTGAGATTCCTTTCAGCAGTTGATTGGTTGAGTCTATCCACACACTCCAGAGCACAGAAGACTTAGGAAAGCATGGCATGCATTACCAACACACAGACAATAGACCACTGCTTCAGATTGATACAAGTGTCAAAAATCAATTTACTGTTTAGATAAAGCTGTCACTGCATTAACACTTGTAATAGTACATACTGAAGACATCCCAAATGCCCACAGACAGCAGGTTAGATCTGCACAACAGAAAACAATGTAGCATTTGGAGACAAGAGGGAAACCTCACTGACTTATGTGCAGTAACATATGTGACATGTAAAAACCTAGAGGATACACTAGTGAGGAAAGCAAGACACAGTTGTAGTTTGTGTAGGAAAAACAATATATATCCATAATTTGCTACATTGACATAATGGAAAGAAACAGCTACTATATTAGAGAGGGAGTCTGGTCTCAGGAAGGGCATTGGTTTCTGGGGAAGCTGGCAGATGAGAGTTGGGACAAAGAGAAAGCTTTGTGCTGTTATTGTACCATTTCCAAAATGCATAAAGAAGTGAACAAGGAGATGGCTTAGTGGGTAAAAGCATTTGCACCCAAAGCTGATGAGAGTTCAATCTCTGCAACCCACACAGTGAAAGGAGAGAGCAACTATCTGCAAGTTGCCTTCTCATCTCTACATGTGCACCATGGCATGTGTACACCCCCACATACACACACAAGATTTTTTTTTATTAAAGAAAACATGTCCTTGTAGCGTTCCTTTCAGAATCTCTATAGCTCTCTTTGGAGAATAGAGTAGGGAGGTGGGGTGGGGCATAGGGCAGGACAGGTGACCCTAGACTGCAATTGTCCTTTGTGCTATGTGTTTTCTTTCTTCCCTTGGAGTAAAAGGGCTATGAAGTCAGAAACTAAGGCTCCCTGATGGCCTGGCTGGGAACTGTGTGGAAGTCCTGGGTGGGGGACATCTCCCCTCAGTTTATAATCTCGTCTCTCCTAGTCCAGCCTTACATCATCTAGATGCATTGTTCTTCTGGATTCCCAATACACTGACTATGTGTCTGTTGCAGCACTCACACAATATTTAATATATCTACTCTATCTAGCTTATATATTCCTATCAGAGGAGTCTCACAAGTAAGACCGCTTTTAAATATTCAATATAACTTAGAGCAGCAGCTAAGTTTTGAATGCAAGATATGTACTGTGCATAGGTCTCCTGAAATTCACAATTTGCTGTTAATTTGTAGTACATCTTACACTTTATAGAAACTCTAAAGTGTTTGCATGTATTCATGACAAAAAAATAAGCCCTATTTACACCAAAAATAGACAAATTACTCTATATTTTCTAGTCTAAACACTTGGCAGGTGAGATTACTATATTAATCAGTCCTTTATGTATATAACTTTATTCATTTAAAACCTTGGTTTTTTTGTTTTTTGTTTTGTTTGTTTGTTTGTTTGTTTTTGGAAAATGATAGGACAGGGTTCTGCCAGTGAGCTAAACTCTAGCCTCTCAGGACTTTTTATTTTATTTCTTGGGTCTTAAAACTGTATATCCTAATGAGATTGCTAACTATAAGAGCCCATAACAATTATAAAATGCTGTCTTTTTTACTTAAACTCCATTAGGAATAAGTACACTGGTTAAAGATGCTTCTTGTTTAATTAATAAAAAATAATCTATAACAGTAAATTGCTGTTTCTAGAAATTTTTCTGAACGTAGAACTCATTTATAATTTTCAGTAAAAGTACAAAAGGCCGTTGGGGCTTCTCAATAAGATAAAAGAATTCTCAGCATACTGTACAGTTTCAGAAGAAAAGAAAAATATAAAGAACAGAAATAGTTGCTCAACTCATTCATTCTTTGAAATTGGTAATTTATTCCCAGAGTCTCAAAGAGGGGAAGAGGAACAGCAAAAGACACTTGGCTCCCTCAGGAAAGTCACTCAGAGCTTCCTCTGAGAGGATAGCGACCAGGCAGGTCCTCTGTGACAATGGACCTATATTTTATGGACCACATTTTGTAACACCCCCCACAAACAATAGAATCGCTTTACAATAATCCATTTTCTTCATTTTATTCTATTTCCAACTGCAGATCTTTCATTCCTTCAATAAAAATTAAGCACATCATGTCAGATTTTCTTGTCACTATTAAACTGAAAGTTTCGTGACTGCCATCTACTGGTGAGTGTCAAGATGACAACTTATATTAGAAATATTAGAGGCTTAATATCCATTGGAATATCCAATGCTACACAATTTGATAATCAGGAAAATTTATGTAATTAAGCTCAAATTATTTGACCACGCATTCCTAGCATAAGTCAAGAAAGGAAAGCTGTAGGATTTCTTTTTATAATTTACTACAATTTCTTAGTATTATTCATAAGTAGTAATATATGTGAGTTGTGTTGTTCCAATGTAAATTTTAATTCTCTGTCTCTCTCTCTCTCGTGTGTGTGTGTGTGTGTGTGTGTGTGTGTGTGTGAGTGTGTGCGCGCGCGCACGCGCACATGTTGTCTTTGGGTCTCTTCTTCAATGTCTCTCCACCTTAGTTTGAGACAGGATCTCTCACTAAACCTGGATCTCACAGATTTACCTAGACTTAACTGTCAGGGTGTTCTCAGAATCTTCCTTTTTCTCTTTACCCAGGACTGGAATTACAGGCACCAGCCAGCACGCCCAGCTTTTTCCATGGATGCTGGGAATGGGTATTCAGGTTCTTATGCTAATGTAGTAATGTTTTACCATTGCATTGCTGTCTCTCCAGCTAAATTTTGTTTTCATAAGCATGGACATATGTCTAATTGATAATGAAATTAGTAGTTACTACACTATCATTTAGGCAAATCAAACATAGTTTGTATGGTGAAAATCTCTCATGGTGGAGGGGCAGTGAACTTTATTTTTAAAAAATGACTTGTGCAAATACAAGAAAGCTCCATTAATACATAAAATACACAATGGCAGAGGTGTTTCAAGGCCATTTCAATGCTGCCTCAACATGGACATTTACATACAGGAATCACTTAGCATTTGCAATTAATGAAACATACCTGGCTTAAAATGTGGTAAGGAATGAACTCCCGGCCAAGTGTCCTCATTTGGTGTTCCAAGAACCTAGGAGAGAACAAAAAATTGTGAAAACAGACATTATTTCCAAAGAACTCCAAATTCTCAAGTGCAGAAAATACTGCATGATGTGGAGCTCTGGATGTTTCCCCCATTACCATCAGCCAGGGTTTTCATTTCAATAAAAGCCAAGACAGTTAAAGAACCACCCAAGGTGAATCTCTGTGTTCTAACAAATGCAGCTGAACGTGACAAGTTAAGTCTGCTACATTTTATCAAGCTCAGACTCAAAAAGTAGGTGAAGAATCACACAGCACAATGCCATCTTGATGGGACCAAATGAGTGCCAGCGCCCCTCACAACTCTTTCATAAGCAAAAGTCCTTCCTTCCCCTTATACAGTGTGACATTCCAGTCGTGAGAGTTCTGTCCTTTCTCCCCTGTGTCCTCTGTCTCAGCATCAAGATGTTTCAAGAACTCAAGAGTCACAGTTTAACATGTTCAAGTTCTCTCAGTACACTTGAGTTTTCATCACTGTGATTGATTTACAGTTTCTTCTCAGCAAAGTGGTCTTCCGCATGCACAGCCTCTTTTTTCTATTCTTATTTCTGTTTTCCCCTCATCTACACTTGCTCCTGCAAAAGGAATTCAAGGACAGTTAGGGCTCCACAATCCACGTGGGTGTTCAGTGTTCCTAGTGATCGCGGGAACAAAGCTCAGTGGTTCAGTGTCGAGCTAAAGGGTTAAGAGCCTTGAAGACAAGCTGGGTTTACGTCCTTGCAGCTCTCCCCTCACCATGTAAGCTTAGGTGGGAAGGAGCCTCTCATGGCTTCATTTTCTTACTTATAAATCAGAAAATGATAACCTCTATTCATCTGCGTGGCGAATACTCAATGGTATTCGATAAGTAAATCATATCAGATAAGTAACCACACACACACACACACACACACACACACACACACACACACACACACACACCACAGCCATCTGGGGATGGCGCTCCTCTTTGTTCACACACTGGTTGAATTTTGCATGGACAAAATGAGTAGACAATACTGAACTTCAACAACTGAAAATAGGTATGTTCAACTAAACTTGTGACATGGACAGGACAGTTTTTGTATCACATATGGGCCTCTGGAAGTTCTATGAACAAAGTTCAGCAGGCTCTAAGTCTTGCTGAAGAATGACTACTGCCCTGGTGGTCTTGTCAATGTTCCCAGAGCGCTATATCAGCAAACCCTTTTCCTAGGCGTCACCCTCATCCTTGTATAGTTCTCTATTTAATGGAGATTCATAAACAGTATGGCTTTCACATGAAAGCTAACAGGATAGACAAATCACATGAGACTGTTCTTTAATGACAGACTTGGCGATCAGGTCTTGGACCCCATTTCTTCTGTAGGCATTCTTGGAGCCTGTGTTCAGGAAATGCAAAGTGGGCACAATGTTCACAAAGGAAAAGGAGAATTAAAAATTAATTTTGTTTTCAGTAAAAGGCTTTTCAGAAGGAGCGCCATGGGTTAAGTGGATGACAGGCAAGGATAGGCATGTGTGTACGAGGAAAAGTATGTGCCTTGTCTCTGGACCAGATTTTCATTTGCATGAACTAGTAAGTTCCAATGCCAAGACTTTTCAAAGTTGGCAAAAGCATATTGCCTAAAAGTCAAAAATAATCTTTTATAATAAAATATGAAAAAGGAAACTGAATTTGTGCTATCAGAATTTAAGAGTCCCTACACATGTAAATAAATGAGTCTATAGTATATGAAGCTCCTGCCTGCCATCCTTAACATGTCATAAGAGCTGAAAGGTCTTTTTAAACTTTTCTTATTTTTTGTAGCTATAATAAAACTATGTCATTTCCCCTTTTCCTTTCCTCACGCCAAACTTTCTTAATACTCCTCCTTGCTCTCTTTCAAATTCAGTCTCTTTTTCCATTAATTGTTTTACACACACACACACACACACACACACACACACACACGTATAACATGCTCAGTCTGTATAACTTTAGTTACATGTATGTTTCAGAGCTTAACATTGGGAAGCACATCAATGACCAGCATGTCACAATAATCCTAATGATGCATTAGGGATACACATACCTAAGTAAGCAACAGCTCTCTATTTGGACTTAAGAAGAATAAAAATCATGCCCGGTACTGGAATCCTAGGCAACTACCTAGGGCTAGTGAAGTCATAGATCTTGAGGTTGTCATCTACAACCATCACATTACTAAGACAGCATAATCTCTAACTACAGCCTAAATACTTGCCCTTATACCCACAGATAAGTGTAGTTCTTACCCATCATTACGTACACTTCTCTCCGCAACAAACAGATCACTACAGAAAACTACACTCAATCAAATGCAGATGTCTGGAGCACAGTCCCAATCCTACACCTAAATACATCCCTTTCACTGAAGGCTCAGGGATCATTGCAGAAGAGGGAATGGAAAGATGATTAAGAGGCAGAGGGTATCAAGAAGTTTGCTGTGAGACTGTAATGTCAGAAACTACACCCACAAAGTCCCACCAACATGAGACTAAACACAAGCTGAACAAGGACAACAATAACAATAGACATGCTAAAGTGGATGGGGCAAAGCCCAGGAGGACCCAACCCAACAAAGAACCATAAGAAACAACGCAATGTTGAGAGGAAGACAGTCTTCCCAGGGGACCAGGGGAAGAGCACACCAGCTGGTTACTCAACACCAAATGGTCACCTCTAAGAGGTCTTTTACACATTCATTTATGCAGATGCACTTTAAATCTGCCCAAGAAGCTTATGTACCTCCCAGCTTCCCACAGAAGATGCAGAGCTTGTGACTCCCTTGGAGATGCCCATGGCCTAGCGAGGGAGCTGTGAACACAGGAGAAATTAGTTTCTTTCAGCATGACGAAAGTTGTCTATAGGATATTGGGGTGGGTGTAGGGAAGGACTAAGAGTATAGAGGACACTATGCTTGGCTCCCCTAGGGATGGAAAAACTCAGTGCAGTAGAAGCTAATGAAACAGGGAGAAGGAAGGCATGGGAGCACCAGCAAACGACTGTGGGAACAACTTATCAGAGCTGCAGGGCTGCCCTGCAGTGCTTTCTCTTGGTGGTTTCATTCCCCAAGTGTCTTGCCAGCTGAATTCCCACCTCTGCTTCTGCACTTGGCCACCTTTGCCTGAGAGAGTCTCTGCACAATCTAGTTCAAGTCCTATGTTGCTTCTCTGTGACCCCAGAGTACTTTTCATAGACTTCTACTCAGAATACCTGGTGTTGGCAGCCAACTTATTTTCACACTCAACTACAAGTCTCAGAGTAGAGACCATTATGTTTACCCTTCAGCTCTTAGTGCTCACCATGTGTCTGGTACTGGATACAGATTTGGAAAATGTTGAAAAACTGACTGGCTGGCTGAATAGCTGGAATGGATGTAGGATAGATGATGGATGATGGGTGGATGATGGATGGATGGATACAAGGATGGGAGGACAGATGATAGATGGATGGTAGATGGGTAGATGATGAGTGGCTGGAAGGATGCATGATGGATGCTTGGTGTGTCTGGATGACCTAATGAAGTTCTGACTGCAGGCTGGCCTCAGACTGAGAGGCTAAGGTCACACAATGACTCCAAGGAAGCTCTATCTGTTGCAAAGTTTTAGCACCCATTGTGAACATGTAAATTTTACATATAGTTGAAATAGTCCCTCAAGGCAGAGTGGAAGTTCCCCCACTACTTTATGGGATGAACATAACACTTGCTGATGAAATGGTGGGGTAAACTAATAAATTAATAGTGAGGTATATGAAACCATTATTCAAAAACAGAAGCAGCAAATAACAGAGTGATCAACAGTAAAACATAACCCATTTTGAGAGCATATATTCAAGTTATAACTGTGAGCATATAGTGAGTCATGATGCAAAAATGTTTATCTAGCTGGTTAAAAGCCAATTCCTTTTCTAACAAGATGCTAAAAGCATAAATCAAGAATGCAAGAGATAAAAGAAGTTTAGACTGAAGGGCAATGGGTTTAGCTCTGAGCCTGTTAAATGTTAGGAATGCGTTCAGGTCAAGAGAAAGGTTGTGTGCAGGGCAACTGGAATCAGATATGGGTCGTGGGGAAGAACTTCAGACAGGAAGAACTTTGGAACTCCTCAGCATATATGTGGTAATTGAAAGCAAATGTCAAATGCAAGTTACAAAATGGTCTCATTTTCCTATGCTCCCACATATGCCAGAACTATGTCTCTGTGACACACTGGAATATTTAGCATCTGTCAAGACAAACAAAGAATTAGCCCATCTCTATCAGCGAGGTCGTGGGACTTAAAACAACAATCTTAGACTTGCTTTTCTGGGATAGGTCCTGACACTACCTCAACAATGTGGCTCGTATCAGCCTCTATTGTCTGGCATAAGAACAGGGTCCCTCTGTAGAAATATCTGTTTTACAAATAAGAGAAGAAAATAACTGTCTGGAGCTCAAATTTTAAAAGATAATTTTTGCTTGCAATGTTTATGTGCTTGCCCCAACTATTAACTATTGCAAGAATGCTTATGGTTTTAGAGCTTGTAGTTTCATGAGCCTTGGGTCTGCTAACTTAGAGCTCATGGGCCTCCCCACCATGAACACCCAGGGCTTTGGGAGAACAAGGACTGTGGAAGTCCTCCCTAGTTTGAGAGGGCCTAGAAGTCCCTAACAGGAACTCCAGCATGGGTGATTCTGGCCTAATGGGGGGAGGGGCGTGGATAAAACTGGCTAACACTGGTGTGAATAATAAAAGAATGCAGAAATGGTGGGTTCTTGCTTCATGTTTTCAGGCTTCATGAGCATGGCCATAGTAGGATGATGAAGATAAATCTCTGTAGTTATGAACCCCAGATGAATAGAAAACCCGAACAATGCTTTTTCATTTGAATCTTTGAAAACCCAATATAAAACATCTCTAAAATAACACTGCTTCATGGCTATAGCCCTTGGCTCATGACTGTTCCTGGCTCCTAGTGGGAAATCCTGGTCATAGTCATGGCACAGCTC